GATGTAAACATTTCTCATCAGAAAACGGCGCGCGCTAGAACCCGGAAGTGTGAAGTTAGCGTACCCACTTATTATCGGCTATAACTTTTTTATTTTTTGGGAACTAACGAAAACATTTGGGAACTATCGAGAACTAACGATGAACTAACGATTGGTATGATCAAAAGTGGATACGCTAATATGGGTACGCCAACTTCACGGACCTTAAGTAAAGAACAGTTTTTCCTATAATTTTTTCCTGATTTTTCATCAATTTTTTTTATTCATAGATCTACAAACATAAAAGCTATGTTTATCCTTAAAAGGTGTCTCTTGGTACTTGTAATTTCGGTTGCTTTAAAAAGTACCCCTGCCACAGTAAACCTGCAGACTCAATATTATATTATACTCAAATATTCCCTGAAAACTGTCAGCTTTATTTCCTATTTAAATAAAATGAATTATAATGAGTACCTAGGTTTGCTGCTACAGGGAAGGTATTGAGGTGAGTTTTATATTGAAATGTTGATAGCTTAGTATGAAATAAACAAAATTGCCAAATTTGATTATAATATATCCATATATAAGCAAACTACAACAGTTTTTTTTTATTCTCCGTAAGAATAACATGGGCATTTTAAATTTAAGTTTTTTTTTTTACTATATCCATAACCGTTAGGCATACAACAGCCCTTTGCTATACTAAATTATTTATTTTTTGAAGCTCTACAAAATGGGTTAAGAAATAAATTGCAATTTGTTTGGTTATTAGGGTCAAAAATGGGAAAAACCTATTTTAACCCCATAACCCCATATTGATTTTTAGCTTCAATATAAAATAACTAAAAAACCATCAAAGATACGAATTTCACTACATTAACATTTTTAAAGATCATAATTTTTTGAGTAAATTGACGTTTATTGCAATGTTCTACGAATTAATTTTGATTTTAAAAATGGTTCAAATGGTTAAGTCAATCAAATCAAATGGTTAAGTGATACGAATTGTGATTTTGTTCCTTCCCGTGTTTTTTTAGGGAAGATGAACTAACTAAAGAGACTGTGTTATCATCCTCTAGAAAACTTTCAAATTTTTGCACTGTAAATATTCAAAGCCTAAGAAGTAAAATAGCCTTACTTGAGAACTTGTGTGATGAGAACGGTATTGATGTGCTCTGCATTCAGGAACATTGGATGGTTCATGAGGAAATAGGTCTCTATAATACTATTTCCAATCTAAACCTGGTAGCCTACTTCTGCCGCTCCCGTCCCTGGGGTGGTGTAGCTCTATATGTTAACAATAAACTCAACTGTAAACCTCTTGATCTGGAAAAATTCTCTGTAGAAATGCATGGGGAATTTGCTGGTGTGGTGATTAATGAACTCTCAACTGTTGTAGTTACCATGTATAGATCACCAAGTGGCAATGTGGTCACTTTTTTTAACTTATTAGAACTGTGTCTCGAATATCTTCTGACATTAGGTCTATTTGTGATTATCGGCACAGACCATAACATAAACTTGTTAAGACATTCAAGCGAGGTCACCGATTTTTTAAATTTACTCCGTAGTTATAACCTCTACTGTACCATAATAGAACCTACAAGAGAGAAAGCTTCGTTGGATACATTTATCTCTAATTTTGATCGCTGGAACTACAAAGCAGCTGTCAGCCGGGAACAGATTGCAGATCACCAGCATGTCTTCCTTTCCATTGAAACTGAATCCAGTGGTACTATTGCTGAAAACAGACTATTAGACACCAATTCTAGCCCTGAGGTTAGTTTTAGAGTATTCAACCCCTCTAATGTCCAGTATTTCAATGATATGGTATCAACGCATATTGATTTATGGTGCGAGACTTTGCCCTACCTTACTGCTAATGAGGCCTTTCATTGTTTATTTGACAACATAAAACATGCCTTTGACTTGTGCATTCCTCTTAAGAAGAAAACTTCTCAAGCAGGTGTTGTAAATAGCAATAGAAAAACACACTCCTCTGACTGGTTTGGTCCTGAACTATCTAGGTTAAGGAATTTTGTTATATTTGTAAGTGATCTGTCAAAGAACAACCCTACTCTAATTCCTTATTTAAAGAATTTAAGAACAAATTACAAAACAAAAGTAAAAGAGGCTAAGCAGGCTTCAGTGGCTGCTTCTATCTCCAATGCAGCAAATCCTTGTAAAGCAGCTTGGGATTTTATTAAAGCCACCAAATCAAAGCCCACTGTCAGTAGCAAAACCTTTGCCCAAGCTGAAGAATTTAATCAATATTTTGTAAATTCTGTAGAGGAACTCATAGGGGGTTGTAGCACATCCCTAACACCAAGTACTAGTACCGATAATGTAGAAAGTAGTCTTAAATCAGTCCCAATTGTACCTTTTAACTTTTCTTGGAGGCCTGTGACGCCAACTGCTATCATTAACATTGTCCATAGCTTTAAACTGTCAAAGAGTAAAGATTGTTTTGACATGACGATTGAACTGCTTAAGGGTATAATTAATGTAATTGCTTCTCCCATGGCTACCATCATAAACACCTGTTTGTATGAGGGGGTATTTCCTGACGCCTTGAAAATCTCCAGAGTGGTACCAATTTTTAAAAAGGGATCTCATGATAACTTGTCAAGTTATAGACCTATAGCTATAATTCCCATTCTGGCAAAGGTGTTTGAGGCTGTTATGCTGGAACAACTGTATGAGTACTTTGAAGTGCATCACCTGCTTGTGCCTGGGCAGTACGGCTTTAGGAAGGGCAGATCCACTGTTTCGGCAGTGGACTCCCTTCTTCAGGTAGTGCTTGATTGCTTTGAAACCAAACAAAACACTTCTGTCTTGCTCTGTGATCTTTCACGAGCTTTTGACTGTGTCTCTCACCAAATTCTTCTTATGAAACTTGAAAGATATGGCCTGCAGAGTGGTGCACTCGACGTACTCAGATCTTACCTTAGCAATAGACAGCAGATAGTATGTTGGAATGGTAGAAATTCCACCCCTTTGGCAGTAAATCATGGTGTCCCTCAGGGCTCCATATTGGGCCCTTTCTTGTTTTTGGTGGCCATTAATGACCTCTACTATGAAGTGTCAGGTAACGTTATTATTTATGCAGATGACACTACCTTGTTTGCCAAAGATCCTGACTTGAAGCTCTCAAAAACCAAAGTTGAGGGTTTTCTTTCTACTGCTACTGCCTGGTTCAATGTTAACAAACTGATCCTCAATGAATCCAAGACTCAGGCAATCACCTTTAGCTTGGGAAAGTCTGCTGAGTGCACTGACCATGTAAAGCTGCTGGGCTTTACTCTGGACCCTCACCTTGACTGGGGAGATCATATTGAGTCGCTGTGCTGTAGGCTAAACAGGGTTATATTTTTATTGAGAAGACTGAGTTTTTACCTGCCAAAAGATTTTATTCGTGTTGCTTACTTTGCTTTTTTTCACTCTATTATTGTCTACGGAACGAGACTCTGGGGTCACTCGCCTAAAGTCAACAAAATTCTGGTTCTGCAAAAGAAAGCGATGAGGGTACTTAGTGGAGCCCAGGATCTCGCGCACTCCAAACCACTGTTTCTCCAAAACAAAGTCATGACTGTATATAATGTATATATTTTTCAATGTCTCCTAGAAATTAAGTCCAATGAAATATACCTACATAGAAATCAGCATGTACATAGCCATAACACTAGAAATAGGTTTGATATTTTCACTGTAAGGCACAGACTGAGTAAATCAATTAATTGTTTTCCTGTTACAGGTTGCAAGTATTTTAACCATCTGCCTCTTGAAGTGAGGCGTTTGCCTTTACAAAAATTCAAAGCCTTTCTAAATAATTGGCTCCTAGAAACACCTTTATTTGACTCTAGTGAGTTTCTTAAGACAGAGGTCCACCTGTAATTAGGTAATGCATGGTGTGTGCTTTTTTTTTTTTAACTGCTTTTTGATTTTATTTTCTCCAAATGTGCATGGTTTTAATCTGATTTATTTAACTTTTTATTTTGTATGCTATTTGACTTAAACTAAGCATGGTTTGATTTGATTGTTAACCAATCTCTGATGATGGTTTATTTTTATTTACTGAATTATGTATTGACATAGCCTATTATGTAATGTTTAATGGCCAAATAAACAATTTGAATTTGAATTTGAATTTGAAAAATTCTACCTAGAATAGTTCTCGAGTTATAGGCGTTTTAGTAAACGGCGCCCCCCGCCATATTGCCCCCCTCCCCCCGGGTTGTCGACCACGCTGGGTGGCGACGACATGCGTTTTCGTGATCACTATATTGCCTATAACAACAATCAGAAATAAAATTGCGTCACCCTTTTCATGCATGCTCAACCCCCTTCAGATCCTGGACTAATAGGCAAGAACCGTCACATATTTGTGACATTTAGAAAAAAAAAACTCAGATCAGAACTCGACTGGACTCGACGTCGAAGGTCGCTCGGTCGCTGATCAAGGCGCAAGGCGAGGGCGGACGATAATAATATTTATTGACCTACAAACTTGATTTCATTAATCATTTTTAGACTGAAATAAAATCTGCAGTGCAGTTAACCTTTTAAAACTATAAACATTGTTTGGTTAGTCAAACAAACAATTAATAACCTCTCAAACTCTGAATTGTTTGTAAGACAACAAATTGAATTGATTGAAGTTTCAATGTAGAAGGTAAACAAAACTTACCAAGCTGGATTGGAATAAAGGAGGGATCTTCTCTCCTGAAGACAAGGAATTTTTAGAAATTGTCTACTCCGATCTGCAAAGATACCTGCAGAAAAATATTTTTCCAAGCCGAACGTAAGTAGGAATACAATATGAAAAATTCCCCCGTACTAAGTAAATATATAATAGGCCTACTTTGTATTTTATTTTGATACGGTTTAAGCCTACATTCCATTCTAAGAATAGCTACAAACACCTAACTTATAGGCCAATTTGTAAAATACACGCCAATTTACCTATTAAACTTAGTTTAAGTATGTTTTCTGTGGTTTAGAGGATATTATGTTAGAAGTGTTATTAAATAAGAGTGCTTACTTTGTTATGAAACAGTTACACTGAAGTGAAAGTTGTCACATAATAGGTCGGATGTCCGTTGTTTGGCTGTTTTGGTATCTACAGTAAGTTAATTTAGTTAGGCTAGATGGGATGGTAGTTTTAAACCTGGAATTACAGTTAGACATAACTTAGCTGCTGTAACTTAATTTTAAAATGTAATTAAATTCATTTGCTGAATTCTTTTGGAAGGTCAAACTACTTAGATTGGCCTATGTCAGCTGACCTTGTTCAAACAGGAAGTTTTGTTTTGAGGAGGTTGGTTCATAGCAAACAATTCTAGCATCAGTCAGGATCACACTTTAAAACTGACTAAGTTAAGCTTCCCTACAGTAGGCCTACTTTTAGTTACAGTTCCTTAGAGAACCTAAATTAATAGGCCTAATAGCCTATTATCAGATGAAACATTGGATCGATATTTTCATTCGGTTGTTTGTGCCAACAGATACGGAAATCTACCCAAAAAATTAAGTTAGTTCCATTTAGAAATCGGTAACACTGAACTTAAGTTAGTCCTTATACTAAGTTATGCTACTTATGCTATATCTTGCATTTTTACGATTTCTACCAAAATTAGGCTATTTTACTTAAGCACTTTTTTCCTTTGGCCCTTTTGGGGGAAACGCCTAGGCCTGAACTTAGGGCTTATTTAATATTCATATTAAATACTGTTACTGTACCTAAATCCCTTAAAAATATTAATATTCATATTCATATATGAATATAATATTAATATTCATTGTGATAGCCCCTGAACTAACCTATACTTATAGGCCTATATGACTTTTTTAGACTTACCTCCATTAGTAGTCCAAATTGTGTCAAACTTTACATCGTTATTGAGTTATGATCTGGTTACGTTAACATTGATATGTATAATTGATGAAACTATCAATGTTTACCTAACCAAAAGCAAAATACATGTTATTAACTTAATGGTACCTACTGAATCGCATAATACCTCACAATTAATTCTAAACAAACAAGTAAAAAATCTTAAAAAAAATTAAAATCCAGGGTATAATTTGGTAATTGCCTTTAGAAAATTGGGAAACGGATCTGGTCCTAGAGGTATTCACAAATGTTTAACCCTCCGAGTGTCTATAGTTTAGGCCTTAATGTCCACCTATTTTTGGCCCCTTTGCAAGGTTTTATTAAAACGGATCTGAGAAGCTTAAAACAATGTTAATTCTAATGTTCTATATACCATTTTGTTTGGAAAATCATGGGCTTCAATATTATATATAAAACATAAGGAACATTTTTTCAAAAAAAAAAATTTTTAGGTAAAAAAAAAATATAATTTCGAAAATTTTCAAAAAAAAATAAGTTCGCGCTCAATGAAATTGTATAAATTATAGGCCTATAAATATTTGAAAATAGCCACTTTGTTCTAAATTTAATGAGGATTACAAATATATAATCATATAGCAAGTTAATTTATCAAATAAATAAGTTATGAGCGAAAAACGGATTTTAGTACATAGCGTTTAGCTAAGAATGCATAGCCTAACCATAGCTAGGAATCTGGCTGATAATTTACATCAATATCACTACCTACTTCTTCAGGATCATCAACCAGCACTTCAAAACCACTTAAATCTTCTTATAATGCACCACGTATATCACTACTTTTGATTTTTAACACTAAAACAATGATAAACGTAATAAAACACATCAGTCATCGGTCCGGGGGAACCTAGCTGTTTACAAATACACGCACGTCAGCTGTCTGCTACAATATTTTCGGAACTAAAATGAATAGCGCTTAGAGACAGACCTCTGGAGAAAGCTTAGAATATTACGGAAAGAACGATACCTAACTCGATCCAGTTCAATCCGATTCAGTCAGTCATAGAGCCTTCGCCGTAAACGATGTTTGTGCGTCTTAAAAGCGACGCGTGACCCTACACAAAGTGTGTTGTGCGTCGTTTTTATGACGCGTGACACTCGGAGGGTTAAATAACTTAGTTTCTTCAATTTTTAGTGGTAGGTAGGTAAAAATAATCTATTATTTAAAACTTAGGATATATAAACATATACAGTAGCCATTTAAATGGTAAAATTAAATTCAATACATCAATCTGAATAAAAATTTATATTTGTGCACATTTAATTTGATAATATAACTTATCGTAGATTCTCTGCGGAGTGCGGAACTGTACTCTACCCAAGAAGCTTAAGTCATTATAGGCCTTGGTAAAATGTTATTAGTATAACATTTGTAAAAAAAATTGTTCCTAAGTTAATTAGCCTACAATTGGTTTGTAATTTCTTATGTCTAACCTAGGGTAAGTTTAGCCAAATAAATCATAACAATGTTTTAGGGTGCTGGTATTTCCTCCATTTAATGGATTCAGGCGTTTTCTAATCCATAAGTTAATAGAAGATAATTTTGCATCATCTGAAGTAGCAGCATTTTCAATTGGTCAAGACATTAGCCGGAGGATTGTTATTTGTTATAAAGGATTGATAAGGTAAGTTTTTCTAAACCAAATAAATGTAATATGTAGGGTAGGAGGTAGGACATAATGTTTGTCACAGCTAGCCTATGAAGAAAAGTGCTACACGTTGTTGAGGAGTTGTTCCACTATACCTCAATGTCAAATCAATGATCTTTACACAATTAAAATGAAGGCCTACTTCCGTTTTTACTTGTTTGTCACTTTACTATGGAGCAACCTAAATGTTTGTCAAGGAATATAGGCCTACCTTCACATTGATTACAATTCAGTAGGCTAACCTGTGTTTTCCAAACCTTAGTTACCATATTGCTGGATTACCCAATGAGTTTCCTACTATTTTAAGGTCTAGGAATAGACAGATTTCCTTTTAAGATAAAGAAGTCTTTTTGTTTACATGTTTTAAATGGAATCACTTAACCGCAAATATAATGAACTAAAAACAGAAAAAGTATTTAGCCTACTTAATTTTGAAATGCTGTAGGCTTAATCTATATTTGTTTGCAGAAAATTTAGATAATTACAGAGTACCTAATCTTAGTTGGTCATTAAGAACCAAGATAGCTAGCTACATATTACAGAGTAATCTTAAGCCCCCCATACAAGGGCAAACATATTCGCGAGCATGTTCAAAAACGCATGTGTGGTTGACGGTGTTGGTGGCGAACATGGTCACCCGTGTGTAGGGTCTGCGAGCCTTTGTACCAGCGAGCATGTTGGGCTCGGCGCTCGACTTGTCGAACTGTCACAGAACGAGAGAAGTGAGTACTGTGCGGTGGCGGCAAGCAAGTTCGCGAGCATGCTCGACCGTCTGTTGGAAACGCCGAGCATGTTCGCAAGCGTGTCCGTCAACAGGCTTGCAAACATGCTCGCCTGTGTGTGGGGGGCCTTAGTTGGTCATTAAGGACCAAGATAGCTAGCTACATATTACAAAGTAGACACACAATATAAGTTATCTGATAATCATTGTGTTTTGACGGGATTCATTCAATACTGAAAATAGTAAACCTGCTAAAATGCATCCATACGGTTATCACTACATTTTTGTTCAATTTAATGTATATGATCAACACCCTTATAAGCTATCATTGTATTTAAAATACCGTCGTTATTGTTTAGTAGCCTACCTATTTAATATCAATTTAAGATCTTTAGGCCATAAACTCAACTATAAATATAGGTAGAATTGTAGCCTGAAATTTAAATCTTTACTTTAAAATATTTATGACCTAAATACACACTGTACCCTTCGAGAATTTGTTTCTACCCACATATAAATAAGAAGGGTCTGACTTTTGGGAGGTATAAATGAGGCAACGATGATATCATAGTTTGGTTCAAAATTCCTCCGTGAACAGCGCTGTAGTAGAGAGCACAGCTCGTAATTTTTATTTCACTATTAGTTTTGCCAACAGTGTCATTTGGAGGCTTCTGATCCATCACGTCATACTCAATTATTATAAAATTAAGAACAGTTATAAAATTAATCTTATAATTTTTTTTTAATCGAATGTAGGTTTACTAAATCTAAAAAATAGTTCTGTTCATGAAATAAAATTATAAATGCCTAAAATTTTAACAAAAGATGTACTACAGTTAAGAAGTAATTGCATTCTAAGCTAAATCGTAGACAAAAAGTTAACGCTATCGGTGGGATTTGATCCGGCTACCTTCAGTGCATCAGCCTGGAATGCTTCTACTACACCAACGGCTCTATACCGTATCGTTGCGGTAATGGTATTCCCTCAAGAAAAGAGACCTGACAGCTGATGTCATCGAAGGCTCTTCTATACCTCCCTTGAGTAAATACAGAATAAGAACTAATTTAAAATATGCCAAACATATAGCCTACCTATGTCAAAAAGGCCTAGTCAATTGTAAAAAGGTCAAAACATCTGGCACGGTACTACTTTGTTAGTCTTCTGCTTCAAAAATGTACTACATGTTTAGATTTTGACACATCATTATCGTTGGGTCAAAAAACCACTTAAAGGATTAAACCATCATTAGAATGGTCACATCATAGTTTAGAAAATAACGTTATGAGCAACATACAATCACCCATTAGCTCATGACCCTTATCATGGGTAAATGGTTAGAGTAACAATGATATTATGGTAAAATCACAAAAGATGCAACAACTTTTGAACCATAATTTGTACAGCACTTGCAGTTTTACTATTTTGTTTGAAGTTAAAAGTACCATAACATACTAAATTTTAATCAAAATCAGCTTGTTTTTGTGAAAGTCCTATTTTCAGTCTTATCATTATTGTCCATGTTTTAGTAACGCAGCAAGCCAAGGACTTCCAGCTACGATTCCACAATCTTCTAAACAAATAATGATTGACAAGGAAAAGCAAAACAGACAAAGACAAACTCCAACAGCAGCGGTATACAGACCCCCGGCAGCCCGTCAGGCTGACATCAGGAAGAGTACAGATGTCTCTAAACCCCAGGATTCCAAGTAAGCCATCCAAGACTACTAAGACCTAACCATAGTTTTACAATAATATCGAGTAAAAAAAAGATTAATTAATCCGTGATGTTAATTAAACACTGTATAATGTGTAATACACATGGCTAACAGTAGCAATTTGTTTTAGATACTCTCGAGTGAGACGCCCCGACCAGCAAGTGTATGTTCCTCGACCCAAGCGAGCATCTTATGATAATAGTTTGCCAAGAAGTCGAAGTAGATCCAACTCTAGGCTGAGTTTGGACAGTGATCACAGCATCGACATTGTGAGGATCAATAGTGAAGAGCCTAGGGATCCTCATCAAAATGGGGTCTCTAAAGATTGCCGTCGCGAAAATATTCAGTCACCATCAAGTATCTTACAGGGTGAAGACAGACCAGACATTTCTACTGAAAATAAAAGTGAGGAATCTCCAAGAGAAACAAATTTTGCAATCAAAAACAATGAAGGGGTGTTTGATGTGAATAATGCAAAATTGGAAACACCAGAATTCATAGAAGCATCTGAGAAAGTTATTGAAAATGAAACCTGTGTAATTGAAGCTGGCGCTTTTGACAAAACAGGAAGTCAACACGAAGTTACTGATAGTATTTTACAAATTTGTGGACCGAATAGTGAGAAAAATGGAGGGATACAGGATGATAACCAGACTGACATACATTCAGTTGAAGATGCAGAGGTTAAAGAGAAGTTTAATATAGGAATAGACACTCATTCTTTGACTAATCAGAGTAAAAATGAAGATAAGAAAGATGAAGTTGCTCCGATAAAAACAGAAGCAACAAAATTAGAGGTGATGGAGACAGTTTCAATATCATCAGAGAGTACAACTGATGAGAGTAGTTGTAGCAGTTATAGGTCTTGCAGTGATTCTAACACTAGCAGTTCAAGAGATAATGATAAAGATTATACAAACTTGCAAAAGTGTAGAAGCTCTGAAAAAATGGAAATTGACTACTTTGAAGAAAAGAATGTTAAAAACCAAATGAAAAGTAAGTCTGAACAAAAAGAAAAAAAGAAAACAACAACTGAACCTTCGGCCACAATATCAGAGGTATTAGTTATATCAGACTCAAGCTCAAGTAATGACTGTATGAAATCAACTGGTAAAAATAAAAAAAATAAGACTCCTGAAAATAAAAAAAATGAGCATTCAACTAAAGCTTATGATGTCAAAGATAAGAGAGTGACAAAACAAAGTATGATCAATCCAAATGAATGTGATTGGGAGTCTTTATATGATGACAGTGGTGAATGCCTAGTGCCAAGTCTTATGGAAGAGGTAATCTAATCGATATTTACCTTTAGTCTGTTAGCAATTTGTTTCTCGTACTAAATAATGTTCATTACTTCATTACTTCATTGTAAAATAGTTTATATAAAACACGCCAACTCAAGTAAGTGAGTGTAAGTAGTGAATCAATTCTGTAACATCTTTTAGTCTCAGCAAATTTTCCATATAATAAGCAATTACCGTAGTACTCATAGAAAGACCTGGACCCGGAACTGATTTACTTTTTTGTTTTGAGGTCCCCAGAGGCCAAAAACACCATCCTTTCAAATTCATATATATATATATATATATATATATATATATATATATATATGTCCCATATATAGCCTATATATATATACATATATTATTTTCTTGCATGTTTAGGGCTACTAATATAATAAAAATCAAAAACATATTTAACAAAGTACCCTTTTAGTAATTATTTTATTTTTCATGACAACATGTTTCGGAGACTTAAGTCCATTATCAAGTCATATTTACTATATTTATTATTGTCCCATATATATATATATATATTCCCATTTTTGACCCTAAAAACAAAATTTTGAAATTTATTTCAAAACCATTTTGCAGGGTTAAAAAAAACAAACAATTTAGTATATTGAAGCGTTGTCATGCGCTATCAACTATCAACATAAAAAAAAACCAACGCTTACCCTCCCTATTGCAGCAAACCTAAGTAACTTACTTGTTAAAGTAATTATATTTAAATAAGGAATGAATGTGATATTTTTAAGGAGACATTTTGGCGTTAATCCAATCAGGCAAATGGAAATTTGCTTAGTTTGCAGGTTTGCTGCGGCGGGGGTATTTTATCCCTTAAGGGGGACGGCCCGCGAGGAGTCAGACAAAATTCTTAAATAGCAGTATAGGTCGAGTTTGGTATCGCATAAGAAATCACTAGGCCCCGTCCTAGCTGGGCGACAACAGCGATGCCGGCGGCAAAATGTTTGTTCACACTGAGCAGCGCGACAAGGCGACGCCACATAGTCTGAGGTAGCTGTGGTGGATGCCGCTATGTCGGGTCGCCGGTGTAGTGCTACCAAATACAAACATGTTTGTATCTTGAAGCGCTTGTAGCGCGACCGACGGGCGCTACGCTGCTCTTGCTGCTCTGCTAGGACACTCTCATTTCTTACCACGTGTTTGTATCCGTCTCTCTTGTCAGTCGCGTCGGACAAGCCGCTCTTGTCGCCTTGCTAGGACAAGATGACCTTAACTTTAGCATAGATTGATATGTACATCAAATTAAAGGTCTTAAATAGTAGAATACAAAACCGCTAATTTGAGCTCAATAGAACAACTGAGTAAAAAATGACAGCGGCTCAAATATTCAAAATGGCAGATTCAAGAAATATTTTAACGGCTGCCATTTTTGACTCAATTGTCCGTTTAAGTTCGTGTTTGCAGCAAAATGTTCTACTAAGACCTTTAATTAGGTACCAAACTCGATCTATGCTGCTATTCAAGAATTTTGGCTCCTCATGGGCCGTGGCCCTTAAGGGATAAAAAAGTGATAGTAAGTAACTTAAAAGAGTAGACATTTATGGCTATTATTGGTATACCAAGTCTTATTACTTTAACCTATCTATATTAGTAAAAAATATAATAAACCATTCTGGGACTTTTCTACCACACTGTATGTTGATATTTAAGTAACTGAAGATAATATTTATCTTATTAAAACAATTACAATTATTAATTATTTATGTGGTCCATAGAATGAAAGTCAATCTTATGATTGTACTAATACTGCCATTTGTTCTGCAGCTAACAAAGTCTGTTGGAAAAGTTAGAGTGACATCTGCGGACAGTGATTATCGGCCTTACCAAAGCATTGAGGAAAGAACCAATGATGGTGAATCTGTTATTGAAATTTATGATTTCCCAGCAGAATTTAAAACAACTGATTTATTCAATGTGTTTGCTGCTTATAGTAACAAGAATTTCCAAATCAAATGGGTAGATGATACACATGCTCTAGGAGTTTTTCCGAGCCCAGTTATTGGTACGTTGGCATTATTTATTGGTATGACTTTACTTTATCGTTAGTATGTTTCACCTTTCTACTTACTTATTTTTAACTCCATAATTTTTAATTTAAATATGAAAGGTTTTGAATATGATCTTTACCATTAGCTTTTGATAATTCATTAAATGTTTAGAGGTTAACTGTTGTTTGCCTTCCAATAAAGAAGAATTTTCATTTAATTTCATTCACAGTGTTGTTAATTTCCTATTTGAATGTGTGATCTTTATAATGCCGCAGGCTAAGTGGTAGAGAGGTTAAGTGCAAGTTTTAACTTTGCATTAAGATTCTGAAACATGTTGAATACTTTTTAAAATTTACCATCATGAATAGCAAGAGCAACTGTCAAGTGAAGAAATGATCATTATGCATTTTAAACCCCCAAGAGTTCTCAATGACACAATGTGAAGTTGAACATGCCTACTCATTCATTAAACTGTTTGACACCACTTCTATAATGTCAATGATTCTGTTTGATTTTAGCTGATGAAGTACTGTCCTGCACTCTACCATATGTGAAAACAAGACCTCTGAGGTTGGCTATTGCAGAATCTCGTATCAAAGCGAGGAATCTGGTACTTCCCCCTCTACCTTCAGTGGAACGTCCCAAGACCTGTTCAGCTCTTGCAAAAAGACTGGTATCTGGAGCTTTGGGTCTGCGCATCCCCACCTCCAGTCAGGAGAGAGAGAAGGAAAAACAAGTTCTAAAAGAGGCCAGAGGTGAAGTTTTACCAATTGGCATTGTATTTCCCATTGCACTCCTATTTTTTACAGTAGTAATAGTTTTTTTTTCATTTAGGAATTCTAAATAATATTCACAGTAGAGTCCCACAAACTTCACAATAATGACAATAATGACGGGAGTTTACCATGACAATTAAAACTGGAAGTATCATCATTGTACAAAAATTTTATTTTTATATATTTTAATAAAGTAAGGATAAATAATTAAAAAAAACCTTAGAAAATCCATCTTCTATCAGGTCCGATGCGCATACAAAAAGCTTAAATATAAATTGCCAATTCATTTGTAATATTTACTGGATTGTGTAAGTAATGTTAAACTAGTTTTTAATTCATATTAAATTGCAATGCATCTATAATATTAAAACGAAACAGGGTTTTTTTATTTCACGATTCTGAATCAACCACTCGACGGATTTTCGTGATTTTTGTGTTGAAAGAAAGATAATTTTGAGAACTAGGGAATGTCGAAGCCATAATTTTAGTTTAGGGTCCCAGTTATTTAGAAATTAAGTTTTAATTTTTGAAAAGTCTAGCAGCCGACGGTAAGATTCTAAACTAGCTTATGGTGTAATATAATTTGTTTGCATAACAGCTGTAAACATTCAGCGTTTGTAACACAAATTCAGCATTTGGATAAAATTAAAAGACATACTAAGGGTTGAATTATTTATACTATGTGTAATGCTAATCATTGATACGTTCAATCCTTCGATAAGAGGATGACAGATTATTTAAATATACATAGGTAAAATAATAGGATGTTCAAAGGATTTTTTTAATAAATCTTTGTAATCTTCGGTTTGTTTTAGTGCAATATAATTTTCTTTTAACTAACAGCTGGTTAAATATAAAAATGCTCTGTAGAACTATGAGGTTATTTTATTTACTCTGATTTGTCATTGATTTTTAGGAAATAAGTAAGATTAGTAGACCACCGAGAAAAGTAACACCATCGATGTATACATGTCGAGGCTCTGTACACGAGTCTTAAAAAAGGATATGCAAACTATTATACTGCTCAACTTTTTTAGGAAAGGGTAGGAAAATCCATTTTTTACACGTTTTAATTCATCTTGGTTTGTTTACAATCAATGTTTTTGAATGATTAAACTTTGTTTGGATTAGGCCCGGAAATATTGATGTCATAAAGAAGGAGATCAAGAATCCTCAGGAATACAATTTTAAATTACCACCACAACCCAGACGGGTTTTATCATTGACTATACACAGAAATATATTTCTGTGTATAGTCAATGGTTTTATCCAAAGATATACAGATATGAATGACAGATATACAGATATGACATAGATTGAGCACAACGTCATCATTGACCTAGGACACTGCAATTAGACTAACCATCCTTTTATGAAATCTAAAAAGTTGTTTGGCGTGTGTTTATGTGGTTACGTTTGGAGGAGCTGAATATTTTATAGTTTAAATAAATGAATATGGGGAATTACGGTGTACATTGATTCAATGAGGGTGGTTTAATTATTAAGGATATTAGAACTGATAACGGAATGGATAATAAACATAGACAATTAATTACGTCACTAGCTTTACTAGCGTGTTTTACGTTTTAAATTCCTTCAACATGTGACCAGTTCTTTTGTTCAAATGAATATTATTTTATTTTTGAGTCAGCTGTTTACCAAAACAAACTATATGTTGTTCTTTTTACTTTTCTTTGTTTACACATTTATTTAGCAATTGATGCAGTGAAATTGATATAAAGGATGTGTGGACGATTCGTTTAATGATGTAGGACACCACATTTTATTGGATGTTTTCGTTTTATTTGAGTGAGTTTCTATTCAGACCTACTGGAAATTGTGTATAGTATGAGTAATTGTATTGTGTTGATATTGATTATGGAAGAGGCAGGTATGCGATGGAATTGGAAGGTGGTATTGTTGACTAGGCCTATACACTTTCTCAATTGATAATTACTCTTTTTACTGTAGGCTGCTATAAAATTTGTCTTTATACGTGTAAGCTAGCTGTTCTCATTTATACACAGTTTTAACTGACTACTCCCGTACGTAGGACGGGCTAACACCTCGTTTTGTTTTATAACCAATTGAATAAGGAATCAAAATATTAAAAACCAAGCAAAACAAATAAATGTTATAGCGGGGTATAAAAGAGAAGTAAAAAAAACAAAAAAAATACAAGTGGTACACTCAATGGTACACTTAAGTGGTGTCTAGCACTAGTGCTGGTGTTTAGGGCCAAGTCCCGCACTGCTCCCTTCGCCCTCACAGCTCACGGTGAAGGAAAACCCTGTGTCCAAAGGGTGAAGTGAGAGAGGGTCATGCTCAGTCTGGCCTACCTCTTTTACTTCGACATATTGGGGAGGTATGTTTGGTGGGAGCTAGTTACCCATTGATATCCATGGCAATCACCTTAAAATTTTCCTATCTAGAAAATGAAATGCCCCGTCTCAGCAAACCTTCTTAGCAAAGTTTTCGTTCAGAATGTAAATAACAAAAACTACTGCAATAAAGCTCTTCCCTAAGGATAACATTCTTGCAAAACTGATTATTTTAATAATTTCTTGTAGTACCCATTGGAACTAATATCTCAGTAACCAATAGTAATAGAATGAGAACTTGATATCACTATTATTGTTTGTCCTTTGAAGTGATTTAAATTATGGAAAAAATATTTTTACAAGTAACAAAATTGTTTTGAAACTTCTTGTTGTTGGATTGCGCTGGTTCATGTATATGGGGGTGTACAGTAGGCCAACACACATTTTCTTTTAAAACAGAAAATTGTTATTAAAATTATTGTGCTGATGTACATAAAATGTTTTTATGTCTGGAAATATAACCAAATTGGGGAATTAACCTCTGGGGAGCCTGAAACAAACAGTATAGTGGTCTCTGACCTAGGTTTGACAAGTCTTGTATGTACAATCCCCTTCTCACCCCCTGGTTTTGTTTCAGAAAAAAGACGCCTGGAAGCAAAACAAAGGGAAGCTGCATGGAATGGTACCATTGCCAGCAACAGTGTTGTATGAATCTTTATTTACATATTGTACACGTGAGTGGATGCGGGGATATGAGTTATAGCTTGTAAAAGGAGAAGTTTATAAAATCAATGTAAAATGAAAATCTCTGTTTTTGAACAGGGTAAAAATGTTTATTCTGTCATTGAAAAAAGTCAAACATTAGCTAAATCAGCTCCTATAGAAATTTGTTTCAATTTGCATAAATTTCTCTACAAAATCTAAAATTACACTTCTTGAAACTACTAACTAATAAAATAATCTCCCATTAGAATTTGTTTTTAAGATGGGTAAAATTTTTAATAAATAATGCTTAATTATTTTGTTAGTTACTAAACAATGTAATTGAAAACAAGTAACATTTCCATACTATTTTTTTTTTATTTTCATAATGTATGGTTTTGGTTTTTAAAATGGATTTTTATTTCAAAAATTTCATTTTCAATCGCAATGTAGTGTGATAATTTTTCAGCTACAACTACAAAATAGCAATTTGATTTACTAGGAGGGAGAACTTACTCCTGTGTGTGGGAGAAAGCCGTTATATTTTTGAAGAGACTAAAAAAGGCATTTTTGAACAGAATTATTTATCTTTTTGGTCTAAATGGAATACTTTTAAATTAGCCACTTAACTATCATATCAAGTGCTATTTTTATATATTTTTTGAATTATAATGTCTAAAATAGTTTGTTGATAAGAAATTTTTACAGTAAGAGCATTTTATGTTTTTATTCTATTCGTTCGGAGGAACATTTTTCATTTAATACAAATATTCAAATTTTTCAAATATTAAAATTTTTCAAATATTTAAAACTTCAAATTATTAAGAACTGTAAAATTACAATGTTTTAGTTTTTGTTGATTTTTGTTATATTTTATTTCATTATTTTAGTTTATAAATGTTTTAAAACATTTTATTACATTCAATACTAATTTCTGGCTTTTTATCTTTACTATAATATGAATTAAATTTAAGTATACCTCTAATTTCTTGTTTAGGAATCTTTTTTATCTATCCTACCTAATCAAATAGTATCTTTGATAATATTAGTTGTATCTCTTCTTTTTTTCTTTAATCTTAATTTTTGATTTTGTGACAATTTTTGGTTGAATATACTGTACTTAAAAGAGTTTTTAATAAAATCTTTCATTATTTTTATTTACATCAATCGGTTTCATTTTAATTGTTGAATGGTATGAATTATTATAGCCTATTCTTTCACAACTGTTTGTGAGATATTTAAATCTATCAACAATTTTCATTTATTTAAATCCAACTTTCATTTTCTCATTTTGGTCCCAACAACCTTGGTTAAGGGGGAGTGTACTTGACCATTTTTTTTTTTCATAATATCTCATTATAACTTGCTGCCCATAAAAGCACTAATTTCCAATGTAATATTTTTTGGGGAAAATTTGTCTAACTGAATTATGAATTTATTTTGCTTGAATCAATCTTTGATTTACTCTTTTTTCAAAATTGGTTTAGTTTCTTTGTTAATAATTTCAATTTAAGTTAATTTGTTTTGCACATTGATCATTTTGTAGCTATTCCTTCATAATCCATTTTCATTGAAATTTAAAACAATGTCCGGATTGATATTGTTAGGTTTTTATTGCATTTTGACAGTGAATTGGTTCTCAAAATTAATTTATCTGAAAACTCCTCCTTTTGTGAGCTAGAACTCTTTATCTACTTACGTGCATGTGTCTCTTGTCTATTTTTTACTGTTTTACCCTGTAAATACATGGAAGACTGTAAATAGTTACCAATTTTTGTTAAAACAACTTTTAGATTGTGATGTATTTAATTTATAAATAAAATATATTTTAGAGTTTACAACAGTGTACTTGTATTTTTTATTTGCATGGGGTGTACTTGTCATTGAAAAGTTTAAGATTTGAAAACAGGTACCTTGCGTTAGTCTGAATATTAGGGCATTGACATTTATTTGTTTCAATGCTATTTAAAGTAACACTACTAAGCAATAATACTGATGATTAAAATGATTATAGTATCACACATAGTAAAAACAACCACGAGTTGTGCAGTGTATTTATTCCTCAAACTTTATTGTTTACCATAATTAGATTATTAAGTTACCTCTTATCACTATTGATTAGTAGCACCAAGTTAACATAAAAAATACCCTCGCCGCAGCAAACCTGCAGACAAAGTGAATTTCAATTTACCTGGCTGGATTTGTACTAAAATATTCCCTAAAAATTGTCAGATTTATTTCCTGTTTCATTAACATTAATTTTAATGAGTACTTAGGTTTGCTGTTACAGAGAAGATATTGAGATGTGTTTTTTTTATAGCAATTTCGATAGCTTAGTATTAAATTTAAAAAATTCCAAACTTGGTTTAAATATATCCAAAAAGCAAACTACAACAGTTTATTTATAATCCATAAGAATAACATGGGAATATTAAATTCAAAATTTTTTTTAATTATCTCTGTAACTGTTGGGCATATTGGCATATAAGTGTAAAAACATACAGACAGCGTAGCGTAGCGCAGCGCAGCGCGTGTTTTAAATCAAAACCGTGCATTGAAATGAGGTATGACATACTAGTAGCGTATTTCGGCGTAGCGTAGCGCAGCGCAGCGCAGCATACGACCGAGGAACAAACTATTTTGTTTTTCTCAGAGCGTATTGGAGCGCATTCGACTGCAGACACGCTTAAGAGTCAATTCTAGTCTCTTTTCTGCACCAATTGGTCCCCTTCAATTAGTTGTAAGTGTCTCTCAATCACCAAACTAAATATGTGATCGAACGTTGTAGTCGACATTCTTGCATAATTCTTAAACCGAGACTCGTGTTTTTTAAGGATTGGAAATAAGATGTATTCTTCACCATGCCAGTTCCTGCCTTTACACACTTCATGGGGTCGCCGGAATTTTATCCCCCTGGAATTTTACCCCCTGGGCAAAGCTGACGTCACTATGACGTAGTAACCTGAGGGGCCAAAAGTTTGTTCGCGGCCGGAATTTTACCCCCGCGGATTTCGAAGTCTAATGAAAATAGTCAGAGCGTGATTAATTCAATCAGCGATAAAAACCGGAATTTTACCCCCTGTCCATATAACTAGTGTTTAGACAACTGAAATGTACGGGCCGGATTTTTACCCTCCGGAATTTTACCCCCCGGAATTTTACCCCCGGATTTTTACCCCCCGGAATTTTACCCCCTGGCCGATTTTATAAATTGAATGATTGGTTTTCTTATTTCTGTTTTTAATTAATTGTAAACATTTCATTATTTAGTGGCCTGTCTTTATTTATTTATTTTGTAATCTCATTCAGTTGATTGTATATACGTCATATTAACCAAAATTTGGCTTCAAAGATCGAATCCTAATACTTGAATCTCAAAATTAAAATTAAAAACATGTTCGATTAGTTAATGTCACAAATAAATTAACTACTTAATAATAAAATGTTTACTATTAAATTAAAACAGAATGAAGATAATTAATCATTCTCACTAATATTTATATCTAGCCAGGGGGTAAAATTCCGGGGATAAAATTCCGGGGGGTAAAATTCCGGGGGTAAAATTCCGGGGGGTAAAAAGACGGGCCGTACACTCTAGGTTTTTATAATTTGATGTGTTCTGATTAAATTCACAACCGTGAAAATATATGTTTAATTCCGCGTTTAATCCATCGAGCTGATGTCGCGAAACTCAAAAGTTCGCGGCCGGAATTTTACCCCCTGGTTTGTGACGTCACGTTTGCCCAGGGGGATAAAAATCCGCTACCCCACTTCATGCACCCCGACACTTCTCCTACTGATCAAAAACTGCCACCTTGAGGTACTTTCGACAAAACTGATACGAGCCGTCTTCGACAGAGCCATCTTCTATACTGATGTACCGGGTACACTATTAAGACCGTCTACAACCTATGTTGCGCTACGCTACGCTGCGCTCTCTGTGTGTATTGGACTACGCTGCGCTCCTATACGCTACGCTGCGCTGCGCTACGTTGCGCTGTCTGTATGTTTCTACACTAACAAAGCTGCAATACAGGGTGTTGAAAATGTCTGGAACCAACATTATATCTATTGAGTGGTTAAAGAAAAACAACTGATATTTTGTGTACGGATATACTATGGTTTTACCTATCTTTTGGTGCCTTATGAAATTTTTTACCACTTATAGGGAACGTCCTGTGGAGGATGCAGTAAAAAAATTTAATGGAAGCCTATGGTAAATGATACATAATTTTAAAGGCCATTTTTTTCAGAATAAGGAGCCACAAGTTTCATCTCAAAAGGACCACCCTAGCAAAAATGGTGACTGTTTGAAATTTAAAAACCCACTTATAGGGAACTTCCTGTGGAGGATGCAGTAAAAAGTTTTAATGGAAGCCTATGAAATGATACATCATTTTAAAGGCCATTTTTTTCTGAGTAAGGAGCCACTTCATCTCAAAAGGACCACCCTAGCGAAAATGGCGACTGTTCACTTCGTAACTGGCTTGTAATAGCATTTAAAGGAAACAAATCCGGACCATTTAACTAGCAATGTTTTTAAATTTCAAACAATCGCCATTTTTGCTAGGGTGGTCCTTTTGAGATGAAACTTGTGGCTCCTTACTCAGAAAAAAATGGTCTTTAAAATGATGTATCATTTACCATAGGCTTCCATTAAAACTTTTTACTGCATCCTCCACAGGACGTTCCCTATAAGTGGTAAAAAATTTCAAAAGGCACCAAAAGATAGGTAAAACCATAGTATATCCGTACACAAAATATCAGTTGTTTTTCTTTAACCACTCACCAGATATAATGTTGGTTCCAGACATTTTCAACACCCTGTATACAAAATTATTGATTTTTTAAGCTCTACAAACTGGTTTCGAGAGAAATTATGAAATTTTTGTTTTTAGGGTCAAATATGGGAAAAATCAATTTTTACCCATAAAAACCCCATAAGCCCCTGTTCCCGAACTCGTTGATGTAGGTTTACACATTTGTTCCAAATTTCATCAAAATCTGATAATTTTTGTTTGAGTTATCAGTATCACCCTAACGGATACACACACACACACACGCACACACACACACATATATATATATACCTATATATATATACCTATATATATATATACCTATATGAATTTGAACGGATGGTGTTTTTGGCCTCTGGGGACCTTAAAACGAAAAAGTATATCGGTCCCGGGTCTAGGTCTTACCATGAGACCTAATAATAGCTTAATAATTATTTTTTAATTAATGGCTTTAATAGCTTATTCCCTATATGGGAAATTCGCTACTATTCCCTATATGGAAAATTTACTAATATTCCCTATATGGGAAATTCGCTAAAAACAAAAAGTTTTTACCTAAAAGTGTTTTTTAAACCACAGGTTTCTCTCTAAAATATCCTAAGTGAATTTCCTGACCTTCCATAGTGTTTTCTGTCAATTTTACTCCTTATTAGGGGACCGCGTCTCGTTGTCCCTCCGTCTAGTTGTACCTACGTCTACTTGTACCTCGAGGCCTAGGGACAACTAGTCGTAGGTACAACTAGACGTAGGTACAAGTAGACGGTGGCACACCCGACTAGTTGTACCTGCAGATTTTTAGGAGGTACAACTAGACGTAGGTACAAGTAGACGTAGGTACAACTAGACGTGTATCCCACCGACAAGTAGTATCACCTAGCTTGTAGGGATGCGACCAGTTGTCCCTACGACTAGTAGTCCCTACGACTAGTGGTCCCTCCGTCTAGTGGTCCCTACGACTAGTTGTACCTACGACTAGTTGTACCTACGCGTATTTTGCGTCCTTATAGTCTAGTTGTATCTAACCTTCAATTCGTTACCCTGTTTAATTGATTACTGCACGAGTGCTTTTTAATAATACCCTTCATTAAATCAGGACTGCAGTGTTCCGAGTCAATTGAGTATGATTTGCAAATATTTTTCACCGCACTACGATGTTTTATAAGTTTTACAGACAGTAATTGGAGGCTGAAAGCTACGCATTGCTGTCCAGGGTCGAAATGGCAGCTATAGTTGTAATTAAAATTGTCCAGCCCTAGTACCGAAAATCGCTTATTTAATTACAACATTTATATAAATATACAAGCAGTATATCCTTAATGAATTGCAATAGACCGCTGCCTAGCAATTATGTATTACTATTTTTGCTGATTCCTTTAAATATTTTTTCACATAACCTTAAAGTATTTGCATTGATTAGTGTTCATTTCTTATAGTATACAATGGATTTCCCAGTGAACAATGAACAATGAAGTGTACAATGAAGTTGAGGTCCAGCGGTTGAAAACTCGACAAAAACTATGCAATACAGACTTCTCTATTTAACATACACTGTAAGTTAGTTTTCTACAGAAAGGTAGAGTTTTAGTGGAAAAAACAATGATAGCCGATCTTGACAAGAAATAAGGAAAACCAAAGTGTAATATGGATAAGGACTGACCAAGAGACACGAGTAGCCTACATTGTTATCAAGAACAGGGATTTCTCAATGAGCTGCAGACAAGCCAAATTTTCCTGGCTTTTGTAGCAAGTTGCTTATAAAAAATTTTTGTAAGATTGTATGATTTTTAAAGAAATAAAATAAATCACTTAAACTGGTGACAAGTTGAAGGGGAGATACAACTAGCTGTAGGTACAACTAGGCGTAGGTACAAGTAGGCGTAGGTACAACTAGTCGTAGGTACAAGTAGTCGTAGGTACAAGTAGTCGTAGGTGCAAGTAGTCGTAGGTACAAGTAGTCGTAGGTACAAGTAGACGCAGACGTATGAGGTACAAGTAGACGGTGGCGTACCCGACTAGTTGTACCTGTAGATTTTTAAGAGGTACAACTAGACGTAGAGACAACTAGTCGTAGGTACAACTAGACGTCCGCACCATCGTCAAGTAGTACCTACAGTTTGGACGAGGTACAACTAGACGCCTGTCACCAAAATGCAGCAGGTACAACTAGACGCCGGTACAAGTAGACATCGCCCCCTTATTAGGCCTACATTCCCTGTAGCAGCAAAGCTTGGGGCTTCTTAAAGTTAATCATATTTGAAAAGTAAATAATTCTGATAATTTTAAGGGAATATTTTAGTATAAATCTAGCTAGATATATGGAAATTAGCTTATTCTGCAGGTTTGCTGCGGCAGGAGTATTTATTAATACAATACCAAATGAGAAATCAAATTCAAAATAGTTACAGCTCTAAATAAAACAAAAAATTGGCAATAAAACTTACATACATCACAGATCTTTCAGAAGTTTAGTAATCTTTTCAGCAACTATCTCATTTCAACATAACTAGTTAATCAACACAAAAATTTATGCAATCTATAAAAGTTTTTATAAAATTTCCCTGACCCTATACCTGTTTCCCTGACTTTCCAGGTCCATGGGAACCCTGAACTACCCTTTTCAATTCAGTTCTTAGAATTGAAAAGATTCATTTTACAGTATTGTTTTGGTAATTTACAAGTTTGAACCAATGAGGTTCAAGAATTGAGAGAAAAGAAGTAAAATTGTAATACTTCGTGGATCAACTTATCAGCTGTTAAGACCAATTTAATTGATTAAGCAATAAGTGAGTGGTTGGGACAATAAGTTTATGCATCACAATCAGTGGCAATGAGAGGTTACAAACAAACATAACCTCTCTTGGAAGTTATGAGTAGTGTTTCTAGTAATTAAGAAACGGTCGTAGGTAAAGAAGTGTATGCAGCTCGCTTGATTAGACACTCATAGAAGTTTTAAATTTTCTACTTGTGTCGTAAAGACTATCTTCACACGATCGTTGCTTAACTACAGTATCCATCCAGGAATCTGGATACTGTTCACACCTTGGTAAATATGGTTTACTTCGTGACCATAAACTCATGATTTATGGAAAATTATAAAAATAAATAAAACCGTTATTGCCAATTACTTGTCTAGACATTTGGTTGAGATGTTTTAAAAAAAACCTTGCAACCGAAGGTGTAATACTAATTCATGAATTCAAATTGTTATCAAAAGGTTTTTTGTTGGTGTAATGCCATAATCTTTTTTTTATTTAGGAGCACTACCATACACTTTATGTCTGCTTAAAGTTAAATAACACAAACATTCAACACAGTTTTCTTTGATAAATGTCAAATTGCGAGCATCGTCATTAGTTCTGGATAACCAATCACTAAACAACCAATAAAACTTAATACACGTCATTGTTATCGTTAGGTCATGGTCTGAATACCCATTTTTGCTAACTGTAGAATCACTTGTGGAAAAGGGAAATTCCTTCAGTGCTTAACCCTCTATCTGGTGCTGGTCAATTTTCAACCAAAACTACATGGGTCAGAGGTTTTTCTATTATTAAAATATAAAAACCATTCAATAATGATAAATCGCAATAAATCTTGTACCATTAGAAAGATGAGATTCTGAGGATTCATTTTCATGCATAAAACATTATTGAGTGAGTATTAATATAGTCAATGGTATTATGTAGCGAGAAACATAGTTTGAAAAACTAGAGAGATCAAAATATATTTTGGCGAGGAAAGTTTTGGTCACCTGACTACAAAAACAGCTGTTTTTGGCAATTGTAAATTAAATTGTATACAATATTAGTACATATTCTGAAACTACAATAATTCCCTCTGAATCTATGAGGTTGATTAGAAAATGTTTATTTGGTTTTAAAAATGTCATAAAAATTATGTTTTTGTAAAAAAAATCTTCAACATTTTACATTCCAACGTAAATTACTGAGAAATGTTAGAATTCAACTACATATAACTATATATTTTCAGAAAGATCTTTTTCCTACAGTTACCTAACAATGTACGTGTTCTCTCACTGATTTGAGAAAGCAAAGTGGCCAATTCGCTCATCAGTGAGACAATGTTAATATTGTCTCACTCTAATTACTTTGTCTCACTCCAGATTTGCAACGTAAAGGGCACGAAATAGTGAGCGCGTAACATGCAGGCAACGTCGTATGCGCGCGAAGTACGTTGGCAGCACTGGCTGTAAATCAGCTGGTTAGCTGTTGTACTGTTGTATTTGTCACTTCACATTAAATGTTATATTAAACGTTCACTTCTGTGTAAAAATAGGTTATGTTTCTTCACCAATTTATTTGTTTTATGGTAACTGTAGGAAAAGTATAATGTGCAACTCGAGTTCAAAGTACAATTGCCTCACTCGAGAACCCATTCCTCGGTAAGGATTTCTCTCGAGTGAGTCAATTGCTCACTTTTCTCACTAGTTGCACAAATAACTATTATTTCCTATTGTACTGAGTCATTTTATTTTCTGTTGATGCATCCTATTATTTCCTACGTGACAAAAAAATTTGGTAGTTTTTCAAAAAAGAAAATATGTATGTAGAATTAATTTTTGTATAGTTTTATTTTTATGAGTATTTAAAAAACATTGACATTTCTACCTAGGGAATTATATTTTACACAACCTTTACATTTAGATAAAATGTGTAAAAATATTATTTTGTGGTTTTTTTGTGGGTTGCTTTTGAAATTTCTAATTTGCATAATACAAAAATTTGCAAACCTTTTGCTATTACGCCTAAACGCATTGCTAAGAAAAAATATTTTTATATTATTCTATTGTACATTTATCACTGAAACAGAAAATATATATTTGTGTGTACTTATATTCACAAATAAATGTTCTGTGGCTAAATATATGGTACCACTACAAAAGGGCCAAAATATACCCGCCACTGGTGAATAAAATGACCGCCAGATCTAGGGTTAAGCATTGTGATTACTGTAACTCGGATCCCCCCCCCCTAAATATGCTATGGGTTGGCTGGTGTGACATTGCCACACACCAAGGCCTTGTATTGGAGGAGGCTATGCTACTAATAACATTAGCATTGTGTATACGCTCCATGATCTGCGACAGTGCCACATTCCCCTTGCTGCGGTCCTGTATTAGAGGAGGCTATGGCACCTTGAATGAGTAAAATATCCAATTCATTTGTTACACAGAGTTTAGAGAAGAAGAAAAATTTGAATATGAGACTGAAAATAAATTTGGTATATTATGAATGTCTTTATGCTCTGCGTGAGAGGGGCAGCTCCATTCGTGAAGCTCTACCACTCACTGCAGATAGAAAGTCATGGAGGCGCCTTGTAACCTCGACACCAACCGGTAGAAGAGGACAGGATTAAGTAAGTAAGTAAGTATGAATGTTTTTAAGCAAGTCCAACTACAACAGGAAAAACACATTTTTGCATAAGAAGTTTTAATCTCTGAAATATGTAACACTTGATCAAGTTAAAACTTTCCTCCCTTTTTCTTTTTCTTGTGTTGTATTTTGCGCTGCTGTCCTCTAATAGCATCAGGGGCGGGACTGTTCTGAGGATTGGGCGAAGGTTTGGCCTGGCTCGGCATCTTGGTAATGTCACTGATAAACACAATACAAGTCATCAGTTAAGTTAAAAACGAATAAAAATCTTTTAGAAACATAATTTTATAGATAAAAATATTTTAAAGGAATGGTCCAAAAATGATTTATCTTGTCTTGTTTTAAGTTAGATACTTGCAGACTGACAGTTAATACCAGCTAATATTGACAACTTTCATGATTGAGACCACTTTTGCACTCAGGAAATATATTCTTTTATCCCTGTTTATAAACCACTTCTGGGGGAAGAGATGTCTAACGGTACTAACAGGGCACATCTAGCAAAGTCATTTTTGTTCACAGTGGTATTAAACTAAATAAAATATTATTAAAAGATAAGAACAAAGTACAGAAAAAAAAATAAATAAAAAAAATAAATGCCAGTAGAGAAGTAAGATTCAGAAGACACATTCAATGGTACTAGTCACTTGTGTCTAGTTCAAATTCTATTGGTCGTCCACTTCCGCTCTCCTCTACCACCATCACCATCACGTGCTAATAGTGCTCACACTGTAAAAAAGAGCCTGTGCGGTACAACTGAGGTTGTGAACAATAGCCGTTCGGGCTTTCCTGGCTTGGTACTAGTATATTTCCGCCCCACCATTCCCGAGCTAAAAGTGTATGGTTTTTCCATAAGCATGTTTCCTCTGTGTCTTACTTCTCTGTGAGTAGATGACGATAATGCTCAAAAGTTTGTCAGTCAGATATTGAAAACATTATAATCGATAATGAATTACACAATACTTTATCACAGCAATATTTTCCACACCTTTCAAGAAAACACACAGCCAACTTTACAAAGTTATCTACATTTCCCTCTTGAAACTTGTAAGACTTACTATTGATCAATGGCTCCAGTAGCTGCACCTTGTGTTCCTTTTCCTATGTCCTTGTTACGACGATCCTTCTTCTTGCGGAAAGTTGAACGTTCATGTTTGGGTAACCATCTCTCTGGGTCTGGATCACAACTAAGGTCGTAATTTTTGGGAAGTTTACCCTTACGCTTCCTTCGCTTCTTTTTCTTCTGAAGTAACTCACTTCTGAAATAATACATTATTGCTCATGATATGATGTGCCATTTTTATCTGGGGAAAATTATAACAATAAAAAAACACTAATAGGCTATTATATTTGTTCAGAATTGTGCTAACCCAAAAACCACTAAGTCTTCAACTAGTAAAAGTAGTAACTTTGCTGTGTATTTCAGAGAAAACAGATGTAGACCTTCACAGAGAAACAATTTGTAAAAGCAAGGACTGGAGTTGAACTGGGAATTTACATTTAAGATTGAGGTCCAAAGACAAAACAGACTTTGAAAAACTAAATGTAGACAATGTGATGAGATGGGGAATCAGTTGACAAAAACTCCCTAATGTTACAACTCGGGTTCATTAGTGAGCATACAACCACTCAAAAATTATAAAAGAAATATAATCATACAAATTTAATCAAATTAAAAATTCCAACTCTGTCTGAAAATATAGGTTTCGGCTTCGGTTTATCTGTTATTGTGTATTGTATTATTTTGCCGCGAGCGTAGTTATTGGTTAGGAGAACATAATAGTATATTTCATCACTAAGGCCTAAAGTGACTCTTTTTGACCCGAGATCGAAAAATAAGCGAGGGTTAAAAGACACTTTTTGCCCGTCTGGTGAACTATATTTTTGTCACATTGCATTTAACAAACTAAGCTAGAAAACGAAATAATTTTAAAGTAAAGATAACCTCTCAAAACGACTTCCAGCTTGTTTTCAATTCTGCTAAAGCAGTTGTTTAGTAAGTGATTCAATCATTTCGTGTATTACGATTGTGTACCATCGATTATTATATAGTATTATACCATCGATATGATGACCGATCGACAACAATAGGCTAACACCTTATCTAATAAATCAATCGATAAATAATTTAGATCAATATGATTGCCACAATAAAAATTTACAACAGCTGATTTTTACTCCTTAGAGAGTAAAAGTGCTTCTTTAGACCGCAACGCATGCATCAAAAACACCTTTTTTGCTGCAGTATGACGAAGAAGGTTTTATCAGATGTTTGTTTACTTACGACTTTAATAATTATTACTATGGTAATGAAGCAATAAAAAACCCATTAGCAGTCTCAAACGCATTATCAAGACAATAAACATTTTGTTAATGTTAGCAAGTACTTCCAAGATGAGTCCAAGCTCATACAAGTTTTATTACTTAGATTTTTAATCTCTTTTATTCATTTACTTCCATTATTTATTACTAGGGTAATTATGAAATCCAAAATGCATTTTATCATGGCAATGATAGTTTATTTATGATGTTTAGTAAATTTTGTTCTGATGTCTCAATAAACAGTATTATTGTCGTGGATTTGTAATTTACCGCTGGCCATGCCATACAATTGTTTATGGTTTCATATTAAACGTGTAACTAATCTACAGTTATATTTAATACTTAAAATATGTGTTTTTACTATTTTATAATTGTCAATTGATAAAACCACAAGCATGCTTGTTTGCATGTTTTTAACGTTTAGTTTATTAACCTCATTTTCTGTTATTCAAGCAATTTATATAAGCCCTCCTAAATAATTAGGTATATGCCTACGTCTTTTGATTGTTTGAGAGATCTGTAAAATATACTAAGAGAATTTAATTGAGCTTGAGATAAACTTAAGATTGATATGAGTTGATTTTACTTTGAAACCGGAACTGAAAAGACAATAATCCACAGAATATTCCATGCTAATGCAGTTTTATTTAGGCCTACATATTGAATTTCCTTTATTTTCAGAAAAATAAAAAAACAGCTTTGTAATAGTTGTAACCATCTTATGATAAACATATAATTCATTTTGAAACTGATAAGAAAAATGCCAGGCTAGTTCAAGAATGTGTTGAGGGGGGAATTGGGCTAATGTGTCACACTCATTAAATGTTGACAGAATGAATATTTTATAAGTTAGTGAGTAAAATGTATACAGTTTTCTTTATTCTATGGGTTTCTAAATATTGTTCAGTAATTTAACATTTTGATTCAAACAGTGTATTCTACTAATAAATCATTTACACATCTAACAACCCTATATTTATTAGGAGTCTGCGGGTCAGACTTTTTTTGTTTGGGTTGGGCAAATAATTTTGGCCTTCGGGTCTCGGGTCAAAATCGGGTCGGGCCATAAACCATTAATTAACGGACTTCTGTTTTTAAATATTCCATCTGTGTTTATAATATTACTTTATGATAAAATATGAAAAAATATTGTATTTATGTACCTATATTGTTTTATTTTTATACTATCTTATTTATAGCTGGAAATTGCCTGCAAGAAAGAAGAAAATAGCATTTTTTTATCAAGTCATTCTTTCCCATTTCCATAACTGTTGAAATAACTAAATTACAAAAAGTTTTAAATGAAACTTAATATAAAAATATTATAAACAAATCAATTAACATATTACAATTTTAGGGCCTGTTGACTGGCTTCAAAACTGCAAGGAAGAAGAAAATAAAAGTTCCACGTTTACACCATGCAATATATTTCATTAATTCCCTGCTTCCTAAGTATAAAACATCACACTTGCAATAGCAGACGATCAGAGGTGTTATTGTTACTGAATGACAAAAAGGACAAGGAAAATAAAAGAACAAGATATAGATCTGTACACTATATCAGATATTTCTTTTCTTTATAATTTATTATGTAAAATACTAAAATATATTTTTATCAGGTATGGAATAAACAATAAAATTAAACTAGTACCTTAGGATAAATCTTTTGACTTTGTTTTCATTGCACTGTTGTGTCACGGTTGTTGTCAGTAGGTGACTGGCTCTGGCTAGCGGCAGTACGGCATTTGCTCTGCTGTGTCTTTATTCTTAAAGGTAGTGAGCAAACTTAATAATATTTAATTTTCATTTGAACAATTTAATTCCTCTGCAATAATAGATATAATATAAGAGTGTTTCTTCGATTATAAATTATTATTCTTTTTTTGGCCCGAACAAATCTCTTACCCGACCCGGTCTCTCAGGCCTTCCACCGGCCCGACCCTGACCCGAAGCAGACCCCTAATATTTATATGACTATGACTTTATTTGTTGAACATGATTAATCTACTTCTTTCAATTGCTGTATAATAGCCCTTACCTAAAGTATGCTACAATTTCAATTTTTCAACCTGTGTACTACTTTTACATGAGTAGGGAGACATTTTTTATTTAAATAAGATATTTAAGGGAAAAAATCCAAAAACCGACAACCGATAAAAAAAAACCGAACAGATAAAATCAGCAACCGAACTATCACTAACTATAACATATAAGAAAAGAAGGGAGGGACATACCCTGGGGAAGGCTCCACTTTGCTGACAGCTTTCTTAATTACTTTAGTTCCCATCATCCAGTTTGAGGTTTCCAACGAGTCCACATCACTTGAAGGGGTAAGGTCAGCAACACTCGGTAGCTTTTTACTCAAAGCTTGAGCTTTTGATGGGTCAAACTAAAAAAAAATTGAATTACAAACAATGGAAATACACAGAGTAACATTCATAAGGTGCTCAGTATTGGATACAGACAAACCATTGGTCCTACAATGATTAAATAAAATGTTACACAATAAAAAAACACACAGGAATAAAGTAAAGATATTTTATCTACAACCTAGTTTTTGAAACTAGCTTTTTAAATATAATTTTTGAATTGAGTTTTTGAATTAAAAGCTAAAAGTTGTGTTTTTTTTTTTGTTATTTAAATAAGCTAATTCACTTTACAGCTTGTTTACTTTACTGCAACATTTTACTTAAACCAAACCAATGATATCAGCAACGACCGCTCTCTAGTTTTATATAATCAGGTTTTCCAGATTTCTATGAGAAGTATTTTTGACAAGGACAAATTTACATTGAACTTTTTAAACTCATCCTCAGCAATAAGATAAGGTTGGATTATCAAAAAACCTCAAAAGTTTATGACAAAGGTTTATGACTGCCGTAGCAAATTTGACCTGATGTGCCGTTGCCCATTACCAGTATAATGATTTTCCCTTACCGATCATTCTGGTTATAGGAGATCTGGTTTGCAGTTGCTGATTTTTTAACTGAAAAGAATTGAGCAACTGCTCCAATCTGAGGAAACTAGATTTCATTAATGACCTCATACATTAGTTGTTATACCTGAGCGTATGCTATGATTAGTTGAGCCAGAGTCTTGGTGTCAGTTGGATTGACTCTTAGCAGTTCCTCCAGACTCTTGGCTGCTACTGCTGGCTCTCCTCCACGCAAGTGGAAGTCAGCTGCCTGTCTCCACAGAACACTCAGGTCACTGCTGCTATCCTGTAACATCACCAGATCTGAGTAAGTAGGTTGAATATACAGTAACTTAGCGATGCCACTAAATTCAGCCCGCAGCAGTTTCCTTGATAAAATGCTCACCTAAACTGGTAACCCAGAAACTCAATGCAACAAAAAAGATTATCTTTTCTCAGCTTTTCCCTACACCCACTTTGGGAGTTGGATGAATGGACGACGCCTAGCTTTCCAATCTTTAGGATTTGGAAAAAGCCATTCTATCCCTTAAGAATCTTTATACTCCAGGACCAGAAATTTCCTCTCGGTCATGCATTCAGAAAGATCTCGCAATGAACACCCAGATCCTACTAAGCATGTACGATTCCTGTCTAGATGAGGAGGTATAGGCCTTCTATAGGCCTAAGTTGGTAATCAAAGGATATGCAGATCTGCCTTTGTCGTCAGGCCTCTTTGCATGTTGGACAAGGCTGGTAAAGACTACCAAGATGATCCATCCCATCTGTGGTTGCTGCCAGAGACCAGGCATTTGGAAGGAATGGTCAATTGTGGACAAGATAAGTTTCAAGTGAGCCGTGATGAGAACTAATCTGTTTGATAAGGCACACTGATCCAGCATTTTACCTGAAGCAAAATGTAGCACAACAATTTGCTTGAAGCGTTTTGATTCTTTGCTTCTCCAGTGTGCGAGAGGTTCAAGCATGGTTCAGCATTTGGTTTCAAACAAAGATAAGAAACAAAAAATTTAAATTTTTATTTTTACTGGTCCTCTACTATAGTATTGTTTTAATATGTTAATTCAGTTAATTTGTGTTTTTACCAGGAAAGTTTTGGGGTAGTTTTGATTTTTTCCATTTCTTATGTATTTCGGGGTGCTGAATCCGAATCTGAGGTTTGCCAACAAAAATTCTTGACGCAACATTGACAAAAATGAGAAAAATATGGAAAAAATGATATTTTTTGTAATATTTGGCTTATAACTCTGAAACTATCAACTTTCCGTTATTAGACTATATTATAAAAATTAAAGTACACAAAATTTGCTACAAAATTTACCCCTAATGTGGTAATCTTCGATGAACCGTTTAGGCTCCAGAGCTATTTGAAAATTGGAACATTTTTTGTTAGTTTTTAAATTTCTCCAATTATTCTGTCAATGACATATATTAATTGTATATGCCCAGGCAAAGGTCTTATATATATCCAAAGTCTTAAAATTGATTAATTTTGTGTTACTGAACCGTTGATTTTTTATTTAGTGTAGAGAAAAGTTACACGAACTGTTGCCGTATAAATTATCCTCGCTCAGAGGGTTGTAATGAGGCAGGTTCTAGCAAACATTTCGATGCATTATTTGTGAGCATTCTAGCTTGTTCATCTGGGCATTTAAAAAAAGTTTAAAAGTAAAAAAAATTTCAAAATTAAAATAACAGCAATCTGTTTATCATGTAATATCGTATGCACCTGATAACGTGATATTAAGATTTACGTAAATAATAATAATGTTATGTAGGCATATACTGTTACTAAGCATTTATATTGTGTGTAGATTTAACAAGTTAACAAATAAAGGAATGTGCGTTTGGTACCATACTTACTTTCTTACTTACTTAGACTCTAGCATCACAGCCCATTGTACATCCTCAATCGTATTGGCACCCATTATACAATTTTCTGTGTAAAATTTCAAGACCGATGCATGGCTTAGAGTGATTGGCACTGTTACCATATGCCAATACAAATTTTTTCACCCCCTATCATTCACCCGAATGTAAATGTAAACTCTAAGCGAGTTATGTCTACGCAGCTGCTTGAGTTGGGGGCAGTGAGGCAATGTTGGATTTAGTTTTCTAGCCAAAATTCGTATTGACTATCTTAAGTCAATTAACCCTTACCACGCTCATGTAGGCCTATGCCCTAGGCCCTAGGACCTACAACCTACAAAATCTACACACAATGTAAATGCTTAGCAACAGTATATGCCTAGATAACATTTTATTATTTACGTATATCTTAATATCACGTCATCAGGTGCATACGATATTACATGATTTAACAGATTGCTATTATTTTAATTTTGATAGTTTTGATTTTGGTGTTACTTATTATTATGTGTAATTTTTTTTACTTTTAACCTTTTTTATATGTGCAGATGAACAAGCTAGAATGCTCACAAATAATGCATCGAAATGTTTGCCAGAACCTGCCTCATTACAACCCTCTAAACGAGGATAATTTAAACGGCAACAGTTCGTGTAACTTTTCTGTATACTAAATAAAAAACCAACGGTTCAGTTACACAAAATAAATCAATTTTAACACTTTGAATTTATATAAGACCTTTGCCTGGGCATATACAATTAATATATGTCATTGACAGAATAATTGGAGAAATTTAAAAACTAACACAAAATGTTCCAATTTTCAAACAGCTCTGGAGCCTAAACGGTTCATCGGTGATTACCACATTAGGGGTCAATCTTGTAGCAAATTTTGTTTACTTTAATTTTTATAATATAGTCTAATTACGGAAAGTTGATAGTTTCAGAGTTATAAGCCAAATATTACAAAAAATATCATTTTTTCCATATTTTTCTCATTTTTGTCAATGTTGCGTCAAGAATTTTTGTTGGCAAACCTCAGATTCGGATTCAGCACCCCGAAATACATAAGAAATGGAAAAAAATCAAAACTACCCCAAAACTTTCTCGCTATGAGTAAATTTAAATACAAATTTACTGGATTATGTGTGACGAGGAAGTCAACGTAGGTATTAGTGTATGTCAGTTTTTGCAAATGCTGGGCTAAATAGAAAGAAAACATTGGGTTCACCCAATCAATCTGGTGTTGGGACAGTAAGACTTTCCTTTTAGATATTAAATCAGATATAGGGAAATTTTAAAATTTTTGTTGCATAATTGCTTTACTTTTTTATTGGAAGGGTTTTAAATACCGTAAGAAATGATTATTATTAGATAACTAATTATTTAATTAATCCTTGTTAATTTCTTAATTATTTTACTATTTTGCATTGGGTGAGTATGACTATCAAAGTGGTAGCAAGAACAATTAAACAGCAATGTTCGATGGAAATTTAAAATATAGTTATAATGAAACTTTAAAATTAATTTTTTAAAGAAGAGTTATTTTTTATACAACAAAAGGTCAATTGAGTTTTGAGAGCCACTAAGCTTTACTAACGCTTTACATTAAAAAGGATTTGGTGCATGCGCAGAACGTTTTGCTCCTTGAAACATCAAGCATCATGCTGTATGGGATCCATTTGTCAAGCGGCTGCTTAAATGATTCAAGGCGTTGCGAGGCGCCTCGCAACGTTTGCTTGACGAGTGTGCGGGTCCCATTGAAATACATGGGGCACTCGTACCCAGCGAAACATTTTGCCTCGCAACACTTGCTTCAGGTGAAATGCTGCATCAGTGTGTGGCAGGCCTAGCTACTCTTTTTGGAAATTGCTGTTTTCACACTTGACAACCGAAATACAACTCAGCAAAATGGTAATATGGATGTCTACTGTTAATACCGGTGGAAGGCAGTTAATATTTGACGGTTCCAACTGCATCTGTAATTGCAAATACCATGTTATAAACAAATCTGATTATAACAAAGTGGCAGCAACATCTCAAGTTACAATAATGACACGTTTAAAACAATTATCGTTTTGGGTGTCCTATTAATACCCATTGAGGTCTTACTAATCTTACATAAGGGGTGTGCCAATTTTTTCTCTAACTTGAGCTTTCCTCAAACTGTTAATATAAGAGAAAAAAGTATATAGTATAGAAATTTAATAACATACTATAGTTTTAACTTCCACAAGTTATCTTACGATATTACTATTACACAATATATTTCCTCATAGGACTCTTTAAAAGTACTTGTTATTAAGGTTTTACCTTGTTTTTGCGATGCCAGTCCACAGTGTTTTGAAGGATTTTAGAGGCATCATCTCTTTGATCTTGAGCCATGTACAATGTCACCAAAGCACTCACAATGCCTGGCTTGTACTTGATGGAGTCGTCAAGCTGCTTCAACACTTCACAAGCTGCCTTGACGTTTCCCTACAACATAACATCTCAGGAACATTACATCTTACATCATAACCTTTCACTAAGCAAGGGTTATGTAGTCTAATTCATTAGCAGTGTTGTTGTACAGGATAAAAACCCGAGATGTGTAGATGTTGTTTGGTCCAAACCATGATGATGATAGTGACCAAAACAGAAACAGTAGCCGATAATAACAAGACCAACTATGTCCGCATATCCCAATTTTAGCCAGAGTATCTGAGTGAAACTGCTTAAAAGTCCGTTCTGCCGCACCTGTCTCTTTTTATTCCTGATAATACAGTGTTCAAGCTCATAAACAAAAAATATATTCCACCATAAACATGGAACTCTGATAAAGACCCCCAGATGATAGCCCCACAATTACTAGGGGGGGGGGGAGAAACTATAAAAAAATTAATTTTTAGGTAGGCTTAATTGATTTATAACTTTCTACGAATATTATTTTTCAAATGCTTTAAGTTTTGTACATAAGTCTCATTTGTCTAATTTAACTTTGGAACTTCTAATCTATCCTCTGAAGAATTTTAAAATAATAAATTGAGATTATACCTGATTTATGGTCAATTACCAATTGAGATTATACCTGATTTAAACACTTGTTCAATATTTGTAATCATCATATTACTATTGTTATGAGAATAAATGTTTTGTTTTAAAGTAGCCAAACTATACTTTATAATTAATAAACAGTAATTAATAAACAAATGGGAGGTAACTTTTTTTAAACATATACATAAAAATAGTACATTATAAAATTAGTAGGATATTTTATCGATCTTTTCTTTAATATACATACTGACATAATCTTACGTCAGTTGACCAACACTAGGGAGGAAATATATCTAAACATTTGTTAAGATAGCCTTTAAATCTGTACGGTCAAATAGTATTGAAGAAGAATTCACTGACAATGTTTTACTAAGTATTTTACATAAGCAGGAATATCTAATTTTTAAAACATTTAAAGGAATGTACCTCAGAAAGAAGCAGCTGGATAGCTGCAAGGCTCATCTCCAATTTGAATGAAGCATTTTTTGAGGCAAAATCAGTTAACATGTTGGCAGCTTCCTTGGCTTTGCCGTCTCGGGCTAACAATATAGCATCGACCAAGACAGTCAGGTTAACAGTGTCAGGGTAATCCTTCACCAGCTTCTTGCACAGCTGGGTAGTCAGCTCATTCTGAAATCAGAGAAATAATAAAATATATTATGGAATCAGTCATTAATAATTAGGTATTTTTTACCGGATGGCGGATATACCGGGTGTCCAAAACCACCCGTACACCCCTTTCAAAACGTTGGAAACATTTTCTTACAAACAAAAAATAATACCAAACCAGCTAAATTGGGTACGGTCTACCAAATGGTGATAATTTCAAATCCAAAATCACACCGGAAGTGGCTTTTTCAGACCGGAAGTTTACTTTTTTAAATGTAAGCTACCAATTTTGATTACAGAATCGGATTCTACGTTGAAAAATGCATAACTTTTGTATAAAACATTTTTTGAAAAAAAAACTAGTTTTCTACCTCTAATCCCCTATTAAAGTCAATAATTTTGGGCCATTCATCTGTCAAAGTTACTGGAAACAATAATAGAGAAAAACAAATAACAAAGATTACATAAAGAAATATGATGAATAGAATCAGCTGTTTATTGTGAACACCTTAGTAATTGAGTAACAGCTGTTCTACACATTTAATGTAATTTAATTTTTAATTTTTAATGCTTAATTTAATCTTTAACCTGCTTAATTTAATTTTTGTTTAAATCATTTGTTTTTACATTTGACCATTCTAATGTAAAAACAAGTGATTTTTTTTATTAAATGTGATATTAAGCAATGTGTAGACCAGCTGTTACTCAATTACTATAGTTTTTACAATGAACAGCTGATTCTTTTTATCACATGTCTTTATGTAATCTTTATTATTTGTTTTTCTCTATTATTGTTTCAAGCAACTTTGGCAGATGAATGACCCAAAATTATTTACTTTGATAGGGGATTGGAGCTAGAAAACTAGTTTCTTCAAAACATGTTTTATACAAAAGTTATGTATTTTTCAACGTAGAATCCGATTCTGTAATCAAAATTGGTAGCTTACATTTAAAAAAGTCAACTTCCGGTCTGAAAAAGCCACTTCCGGTGTGATTTTGGATTTGAAATTATCACCATTTGGTAGATTGTACCCAATTTAGCTAGTTCTGCATTATTTTTTGTTTGTAAGAAAATGTTTCCAACGTTTTGAAAGGGGTGTACGGGTGGTTTTGGACACCCGGTACAATAAAAATAATTTTTAGATTTAAAACTCTCAACTTATTGATTTGTAAGGCATTAATAGGTTGTCGATGAATGAGAATTTTTGTAGTTAAACACACGGTTTTTGTTATAATTACGACAAATTGTCAATAGTCACAGAACCTAACACATTACACACAGAGCTTCAGTAATGAAATGATATCCCATTACTTTCCTCAAAAAGATCAAGTCAAGCTTACAAAAGAAAAGAAGCGATCATAAAGTACAATAACCACTAAGTCTTAGCTTAATCAGCTAAAGTTAAACTTCAGGTTTCAAAAAACCCATGATCCATCAACCATGAATAACAATTAAAATTGTTCAGTCCCAAACCTCACCTGATTGGTGTAGACTGACAACAAGCATTGGTTGATACGAATAGCTTTTCTTTGCCGTGAAGTGAGTTTATTTTGAAGCCCTTCAGTCATTGCACTGCGTATTTTTTTCTTTGAATCAAAAACATTCTGATCACGATTGAGTGTGATGCTGTTGTTACTAGCTATTGCCACCAATCCTATATCATCTGGTTTACGTTTGAGAATGGCATTGTACATAGCTTGGGCTTCTTTTTCCCGGCCTTGCAGCTGAAGACAGTATGCCTGTTGTGCTCTGTAAAAATATGTTAAATATGAAAGAGTCCAATCTCAAAAAAATACATTGTATTCGTCATTCATTATGTTAATATAAGCAAAATTTATTTGAATATGGTTAATGATGGGTCCTAGCCTAAACTTTTAATACCTCAGTGCTTGGTAATAAGATCTTAAGAACAATTGTGGGACCAATAGCTATAGATTTGGACGCGTTGCAGAAAGTCAACAGTCCCGGAAGGTCAAATAATTTATACCTGTGCCACTAGGTCAAAAACTACAATGTTTGCAGTGTCTGTAGATCAAAAATCCCAGTAAGTCAAATAGTACAGTCCGGGCTAAAAACGTAGTCTATGTTAAAGCAATTGACTTATTGGGATTTTGACCTAATGCAACAGCAGTTTTAATATAACGAAATAAGATAAAATATAAGTTCAGTTTCGCTGAGTCAACAGTGCCGGAAGGTCAAAAGTATAATCTGTTAAAAACAACGATAGTCCTCTCGACGCATGACTTCAATAATTTCGTGTTTTGGTGTACTTAAAGTTGTGCTAAAATTTTGAAAATTGGCACAGAGCTTCTTGGTTAGTCCTACTCGATGACTATTTTGTTGGAACTTTAAACTATTTACCGATCTAATTAATAAAAATTGATATGTATGGTGAAATAGTTGTAAATCGTGATTTCTAACATGAAAAAGTTAGCATGCGAGATTTTTTTTGTTTTTGGGTTAGAGAGGTTTTGTCTGTGGCAAAGTTGTAGCCAAAAGTGTGATGCGTAAAATATATTTTTTTGAATTTTTTACGATCAGTGGTTCAATAGATAACTTGGGTTGAAGAGGAAGGCAAATTTAGCATTTCACAATGCATGGAAAGAACTACATCGTACGATGCGACTGCTGAGTGGACTTTTAATTTACAGTTCTAAGGACAAGAAAAAGATGAATATACAGATTACCAGTACATTCATATTATTTATAAAACATCTTTCTGTATTACCAGCTTACATTTTTCACTTATAAGAATACATCACAAATAAGGTGTTAAAAATAAGCGGAGAGACACTTTACCTAGTAATTCCTTGGGTCAAAATAAACAGAAAATGAAGGATGACATTTTTTCCAAAATCGTTTCGTTAACCAGATATCCGCCATTTTGTATTTTTTACATACAAATATTTATCTTTACACTTTTCCAACCGATGTTTATGAAACTTGGTATGTACGTTAAGGTAGGAGAGACCCATGTTATAAAAAAAGATTCATCTCGATTCACCCTAAAATTTCAAAATTTAACACTTAACTACAATATAATATACTTTACTATACCACAATATTTACGTATCACCATAAATCTTTAATAAAATAAAACGTCCACTTTTTAAAATCCAAAGTAAATCAATTAAATCTTCCTTTTTTGAAAAATATAGTACAAAAAATAAGGCGATGTTAAAATAACGACAGGCGAGTTTCGATCTGGGTGTTTCAGGTTTGAACCTAGGAGGCTTTATCATTAATTAACATTAATGTTTAATCCTCCTAGGTTTGAACTAATTGAGAGGAATACATGAAACCGAAGGGGGGAGGTAGCAACAAGTGCACTAGTACTTACTAGTGTCCAATTACAATTTCAATTGTAATTGGGATATCGGATACGGTAAGAATTAGAGAAAACTTTAAATGGGGGACATTCCTTTATTTCTTGTGGCAGTTAAAAATATGATTTTAGTTTTTTGAAATTCAGCCGCCATTTTCCAAAATGGCGGCCAAATTTGAAATTGCTTATGGAACACCCTATATTTTATCATGTTTTCGGATAGAATATGCAATTTAAAAACTTTTTTATAATTGACATGTTTTCGATAAACCGACTCGTTTAGGAGTTACACTGTTACAGCCTATGGAAAAATGACTTCTGGTGTACATTTTACATCATGTAGCTCCTAAACAAGTAAGTTTATAGCAAAAATGGGAAGAGTAAAAAAGTCTTACAATTGCATCCACATTCCAAAAAGACCATAAAATTCATTAAAAATATGATTATATTATTTAAAAAAATGGCGGCAAACTTGAAAAGTGGAAAACTTTTTATTTTATAGTCTTAAAGGAATGTAGATGCAATTCAAAGACTGATTTACTTTTTGCAATTTTGCTCTAAACTTACTCGTTAAGGAGCTACATGATGTAAAATGTAAACCGGAAGTCATTTTTCCATAGGCTGTAATCCTAAACGAGTGGGTTTATCAAAAAAATGTCAAAGCTAACAAAGTTTTTAAATTGCATATTCTATCCGAAAACATGATAAAAACTAAAATCATATTATAACTGCCACAAAAAATAAAGGAATGTGCCCCATTTAAAGTTTTCTCTAATTCTTACCGTTTCTGATTTCCCAATGGTGGCCTCCTTGAGTTGATCACCCTGTATATATGAATTTGAACGGATGGTGTTTTTGGCCTCTAGGGACCTCAAAACGAAAAATTAAATCGGTCCCGCGGGTCCAGGTGTTACCATAAGTACTACGGTAATAGCTTATTCCCTATATGGGATATTCGCCAAAAACCTAATAGTTATATAGAACAATATTACATTCAACCAGCTGTTAGTTAAAACAAATTATATGGGACTAAAACAAATCAATGATTATAAAGATTCCTTTAAAAATAATTTGAACATCCTACAATTTTACTATGCATATTAGCGAATTTCGCTATGGGGAAGTAGCTATTACCGTAGGTCTCATGGTAAGACCTAAGCCCGGGACCGATTTACTTTTTCATTTTGATGTCCCCAGAGGCCAAAATCACCATTCGTTCAAATTTTTATATATCTATATATATACTAGCTGTACCCGCAGGCTTTGCCCTGCTTAACTTCATAAGTAGTATTCGCATGGCTCAATCACGTCCTGGTTGAAGTTCGTTCGCTACGCTCACTCACCTTCAGGTTGAAAATCGTTCGCTGCGCTCACTTGTTTTCAGGTTAGCTCGTTCGCTAGGCTTACTCGCCTCCAGGTTGATGTTCGTTCGCTACGCTCACTCACCTTATCAATGATTATAAAGATTCCTTTAAAAATAATTTGAACATCCTACAATTTTACTATGCATATTAGCGAATTTCGCTATAGGGAAGTAGCTATTACCGTAGGTCTCATGGTAAGACCTAAGCCCGGGACCGATTTACTTTTTCATTTTGATGTCCCCAGAGGCCAAAATCACCATTCGTTCAAATTTTTATATATCTATATATATACTAGCTGTACCCGCGGGCTTTGCCCCGCTTAACTTCATAAGTAGTATTCACATGGCTCAATCATGTCCTGGTTGAAGTTCGTTCGCTACGCTCACTCACCTTCAGGGGTAAAGCGACAACAGGACTGAATTTGACCTGGGCCAGCCAGAGCCCTCTGGGGCAGTCGTGCGTCATAATGCGAGGGTGCGACATTAGGACTGAATGGAATCTCCCCGTTCTCCCTGCCTTATTCCCATCACCCTACCCCCGGACACATAGTGAACTAGTGGGATAGTGAACGGATCGGCTCATGGAATCGTTCCCTTGTTAGCATTCGTCTTTATTAATATAATTTAGCCGCTATTCCAGTGCCTCGCAACGAGATCAAGATTCAGAAGAGACAATTTTGGTTCCTTTAAAATGCCGTAAAATGGTTGTTTGATCACCCATTTTATTTCGATACGAAATTCAACCGTACCACTTGACTTGATTCAAAAGTCTGCTTTGTTAACTCAGATTGTAAACACTTATTTAGGCTACCTAGGATGGTGTAAAAGTAATGACGATGCACTCATTGAAATATTACATTGAGACCTTTATGATTTTATGTTTAAAAATACGCTTACTAACAAGTGTATTTACTAAAACAAAGTGTTGTACGTCAATTGTTACAACGAATAAAACCCTGATCAGCTGATTAGTTGACGTTCAAAACATTACAATTTTACTTCTTTTCTCTCAATCCTTGAATCTCATTGGTCCGTTACCCGTGTTGTTATGAGAAAAACTATGCTGTTATGAAATGAAATATGCTGTTATGAAAGTAAACAGCTGTTAAGTGAAACTTTTCAATTCTGAGAACTAAACTGAAATGGTTACTTTTAAAAAACGGTCGTGGGTAAAATAATTAAAGGGCTTTAAGTAGACTGTAATTGTGTATATTTAAAAAAACAAAGAATATAACAGATGTTAGTTAAATCATTCCAAATACAAATGTCATAGAGGAAACAAGCAATTATGAGAATATGGCAAAGAGTTTCTAACACCCCCGGTGTTGCTAGTTAGTATAAGATTCGTTCAGTTCCGTCATTTGTTTATGCTTATCATCCATAAGTTACCAAATTTTATGATAATTATTAGCCAGATTTATTTGTTTGGAAAAAGCTTAGGAACCCGCAATGGCACTTTTCAGATGAGTATTTAACATTATTTTTCATTACGATATCGAAAAACTTGTAAACAATACGAATACCTTTGTTTATTCAATATGGGGTCTGCACAGCAAAATCCCATACCGGTTACGTTCCGTGCACCACAAATGCACAGAAAGTTAACGTTATGTAATTTTGCTGCAGTAGCGGAAATAACCTACTGTATTTTCTTAGTTCATTTATATCAGTTCCGTCACAGTTCCACCACAGACCAGTCACAGTTCAGTCTCAGTTGAATCCAAAATTTCTCAGTCAAATTATATAAGTATAGAGTATAGGAACGAGTAATTTTACCATCGACTGTAACATAAATTAATGTGTTGTGGATTGTCAGGGTCATTCATTTGGTTTCAGTCGGACTTGCGTTACTATATTTACAGTGATGTTACAGTGAAAAATGGTAAATTAAAACTTAATATTCTATCACTTATTGTTGTTTATTGTTATTGTTGACTTATTGTCGCTGTATAGGGACAGTGCATTATGAGACAAGAGTTTGCTGGTTATTCCAAACTTTTTATGTATGGTGTCCAATAGAATAGGGTGGTTCCATGACAAAACAATCCTGCAATCCCATAT